CTATTAGAGGTTTGACAGAAAAAGGGTATTAATAATAAATATATATTTATATATAAAAAAAATTTCTCCTGGAGCGAGCTGCTGCGTAAAGAAGACTAATGTGATTAGGATTGTAAGTTGGACAATAATATAAGATTGTAACTGAGTTTTAGTTTAATTTACACTAAGCTTTTAATATTTTCGTTTTTTCTAATTAGAAACACCTAATTACAAATCAAACCATGCATCATAAAGTCAATTTTTTGTACATTACTTGTTTTTCAACGAACATGCCAACCTTCACATAGCCAAATTAAATTCACCTTTAAGCGTGGTTTAAAAGGCAAATCACTACAGTGATTCTTGAAAATATTTTTTTTCCGACAATCTAATATGTGATTCGAAATATTAAAATAATTTTGTGCTTCTTTAAACATCAAATATATAATTGTTAGATTTTAAATTTTATTTTTTTAACAAGTTACATAATTTAAAATTGAAATTTATCTACATGTTAATGATTAATTATTATATATTAAAAGAGCTTCTATTTTTCTTTATTATTGTTCATCATCTAATATACCATTATGGATTAGAGCAATGATTATTTTAATTATAATATCATCATCAAATTTTTACTTTAAATAATTGGCCCTTGTGAGCTCAAATTAGAAATCTAATTGTATTTTTTTAGGAATAGTTGAAATAAAAGATAAAGAATTACAATGAAAAAAAAAACAAGTGGAATAGGTGATGGCTTTAAAATTTGTCTTAAAAGTTCATCTTCATCCCCATCTTTTTTTGCTCTTAGATAATTGGTTTCTTTAATTTTAAAAAATTCTATTTTTATACCAAACTTTATTTTCCAATCTTTTTTGTGAGAGGGGAGAGGGAGAGAGAAATTTCATTGGCTTCTAGCATAAAGAGAAAAAACTCGTTATTAACACCTTTTTCTAACCATAAAACAGGTTAAAATTGGTGTCATTAGATTTCACTGGGTGAGAGAAGTCTTGTGATGGTTGTTTTGAACCTTGATATAGCTTAAAAAATCAAATTTAGATTGAGGGTGAAATATTTCCTCTGGTTTGATTTTGTAGTTTAGACCATTTTTAGGTTTATTAGGTTTCATAGGTTGGTTTCTTGGTGTTTAAAAAGTGTTTGTAGGATGATTTGTGGTTGAAATAAGTTAAAAAAAAATAGGTTTTTTGTATGAAAAACTCATAGCCCTGATTTTTTAACCACCACAGAGATGACCAGAATTTGGGCTAGTAGACAATATGTTGTTTGCCACAATAGGTAATGTCTCGTCTAACTTTTTTTTTTCAAAAACAAATCTTCTTTAAATAATAAATAATAAATAAAAGGCCCATGCACGTGGGTCTAGGCTTGAAGACCCATGCATCTGGATTTTTTTATTATTAATATTTTTTTATTTTTTTTAATTAATTAACTTTTTTATATATGTATTTTAAAATAATGCTTAAGTTTATTTATTACTTAATACCCGTTCTTTGTGATTTTAATGTCTCGTCTAACTTTTTTTTTTCAAAAGCAAATCCTCTTTAAATAAAAAATAAAAAATAAAAGGCTCATGCACGTGGGTCTAGGCTTGAAGGCCCATGCACGTGGGTCTAGACTTGAAGGCCTATGCATCTGGACTTTTTTACTATTAATATCTTTTTTCACTGTTTTTTAATTAATTTATTTTTTATATATGTTTTTTAAAATAATGCTTAAGTTTATTTATTAATTAATACCCTTTCTTTGTGATTTTTTTTGTCTTATTTAGCCTTTTTTTTAATAGCAGTTTTTTTTAATTATATTAAGTGTGTTTAATTTTTTATGAGGTTATTTAATTCATCTGTGTGTGTGTATTAAATTTATTTAAAAAATTAAAAATATTTATTTTTTTATAATATTTTAATCATGTAAAGCCTTACATAGTATTTTTTTTTTTAACTTTATTTTGTTTGCTAAATTTTATGTGTTAATTTCTTTTACAAATTAATTTTAATAAAAAACAATTAAACACAATTGGATAAATAACTCATATTGTGCTATTAAATATCTTGATTTATATTTTTCTTTTAATTTTTTATATTTTATTTTTATTTTTTGTCAATTTTATTTTCTATCAAATTATCTTTATCGTATAATCTAGAACACAAAGTAAACATGTAATTTGGACATATCTCATATCCAGATCACTAGTTTTGCATGTTATCCTAGCCTTGCCTGAGGCAATGTTTTTAAATTTTTATTGTTATTTTTGTTGCTTCTTTTTTTATTATTATATTATCAAGTTAATCAAGATTTAACTTAATTATCAACTTTTTGTTTACTTCTTTAAAAACATAATTATCTTCTGAATTTTTTTTTATTAAAAAAATATGCTCCGGTTTATGGCGTCACACAAGCCACAAATCTAGTATATACTAAAATGGCTCTGTCTCTCTCTCTCTCTCTCTTTTTTTACTATAGATGAATCACTCTTCACCATCTCACAAATCACTATGAATTAGAGTAATGATTTTTTTGTAGTTTTTAATTTGATTCTTGAACTTTTATTTTGCATGATTTAGCCCTTTTGAGCTTGAATTAACACTTCATTGTGTTTTTTAGGTGGAAAGGTTGAATTGAAATAAAGATGACTAAAGTGATAAATGCAAGTAAACTAAGTGGCAACTTTAATTTTTTTTGAAAATTTCATTGTAGTCCATCGTTTATTTATCAGTTAGGTAATTGGTTCCTTCAATTCTCACAAATTCCATTTTGGTACCAAACTTTTTTTTTCTCATTTTCTAGTTTTTTTTTTAAGAGAAGAGAGAGGGAGCTCGCCTGATTTCGATGTAAAGAGAGAAAATTTGTTGTTAACACTTTTTCCAACCATAAAACAAGTTAAAATTAGTGTCAACAGGTTCTACCAGATGATGATGGTTTTATGATGATTATTTAAGCCTTGATATAAGCTAAAAAACTAGATTTAGGTCAAGGATGAGAATTTTTTTTTGTTTGATTTTATGGTTTGGATTTTTTTTAGGTTTATAAGGTTGAAAGATTGGTTTTCTTCATGTTTTAAAAGTGTTTGTAAGATGATGCGTGGTTGAAATGAGTTAAAAAAATAGGTTTTTTTGTATAAAAAATACTCATAATCCTAATTTTTTAGTCACTGTAGAGGTGGTTGGAATTTGGGTTAGTAGACAATATGTCATATGCCATAGCGAGTGACGTGTCATCTGATTATTTAAAAAAAAAAAATTAGACAATATGTCATATGCCATAGCGAGTGATGTGTCGTCTGATTATTTAAAAAAAAAAAAACAAACCACTTAAACAATAAAAAAAAATAACAAGCTTAGACGCGTGGGTCTGGCTTGAAGGCTCTCGCATCTAGGTTTTTCCTTTCTCAATATCTTTTTTTTTCAATCAATTCAATTTTTTTTCTTTTTTTAATAATTCTTAAGTTTGTTTTTTTAATTAATATCCCTTCTTTGATATTGTTTTTGGCTGATGTAGCCTTTCTTGAATAACAATTATTTTTAATTATAATTGGTGTGATTGATTTTTTATGAGGTCAATATGATTCATTTATAATTTTTTATACATATTTCATATAGATTAAATTTAATTTTATAAATTAAAAAATTTGATTTGTATATAATATGTCGATCTTGTACTGCCTTATATAGTTTTTTTTCTTTATTTTGTTCAATAAATTTTATGTGTGTCGATTTCTATTACAAACTAATTTTAATAAATAAATTCATTAAATACAATCAGGTTAATAATTCTTGTTGTGCTATTAAATATTTTAATTTATATTTATCTCTTAATTTTTCATGTTTTATTTTTTTTGTCAATGTTTTTCTATCGAATTGTTTTGATCTCATGACCTAAAACGCATGATAGACATGTAATTTGAATATATCTTATATCCAAGTCATGAATTTTGTGTATTAACCCAACTTTGTTTGAGGTAATATTTTTTAAAATTTGATTTTTATTGTTGTTGCTTTGTTTTCTTATCATATTATCAAGTTAATCAAGATTTAACATGATTATTAAATTTTTCCTACTTCTTTAAAAAATAAATATTTCATAAATGTTTTTTTGTTAAAAAAATATGATTCAACATATGGCATTGATTTAGTTTTTTTCTAAAATTTGTTAAGATAATAATGACAATATTCATTCAATTTGAGATTTAAAGTTCGAATCCATACTATTCTTTAATAAAATAGCATATCTATATTCAATTTTATTGATATTATTTATAATGAAATCATAAGTTTTTAACATTTATAAATTGAGTGAATTTGATAAGGCCGTTTACATGTATTCTTAAAAAAATTTATAAGTATATTTGGTAATGCGGTTTGTATGTATTTTTTTTTATTCTTAAAAAAATTTATAAGTATATTTGATAATGCAGTTTGCATTTATTTTTAAAAAAAATTATTATAGATTTTATCCTTTAACTTATAATCATAGTTTCATTTAACTACATTAGTGATAGTTATTCATTAGATAAAAATCTTAGAAAAAAAGATTTTTTTCCATTTATTTTCTATAATCTCACGTTATGTTTTAGTCAACACATAATACTTAAACTAAACAAAAAGGCAACAAAAGCATAAGTTAAAAGAAGAAATTCCATATAAAATTCTATATAAAAACAAAAATCATATAAAATAAAAAAAGAAAAGCAAGAGTTTATTGACATAATGCATCGTTTACCTTGACCTTTTTTCTAATATTCTATTTAATAGTGTGGTAAAGATTATGTACTAAAGTATTTTTTATTTAAAATTATAATAAAATAATTTTTTTGCAGACAATTAAAAAATATCACATAAAATTAGATTTAAAATAAATGTTTTTTCAAAAACACCGTTAAAAAAAAAAGAGCACACAACGGATTTATGATTTGTAATTCCAAGAAACTAACCCCACCATTATTCACCTACTCTCACACACCTTTTCAATACCAAATTAATTACTATTTAAATATAACATAAAATTCAAGCTTTCCTTCCACCATTCCTATTGAGTCCTTCTCTATTCTCTCTTGAAAACACCAAAAAGAAACGCATTGCCATTGCAATCTCAATTTCATTCCATCTATCCCTGTTTGTCTCTCTAGGGCTGTTTTTTTTATGATTCTGAAATTAAAACCCAGAATTCATAATCTAAAATTTCTTTGAAATTCCAACCAAGCTCAAATCTTTCTTCAAACCCCATTATTTTTTTGCCCAAGATGAAAATGGGTTCAATTCAAAACGATGACATCACAAGCTAATAAACGTCAAAATTATTCCACCAAAAACCCACAAATTTTCAATTTTTTTCTTTTTTGGTAATTTAGATTTATGGCATCAGCAAGGAATCTAGTAGTTGAAATAGCAGCAGGAAACGAGAGAGTGAAGGTGTTAACGATGAGAGATGAAGAGAAAGCTAAAGAGGACGATTCACCCTCTGCTAAAAGGTCTAAATTTGAGAGATTTCCATTGACAAGATGGGAATTAGCTGCTGCTCTTGGGGTCTTTTTAGTCTTTTCAACTGGTTTGTTTTGTATCTACTTGACAATGCCTGCTGCTGATTATGGCAAGCTCAAGTTGCCTCGTTCCATTTCAGATCTTCGCTTGCTCAAGTATGCCGCCCTCTTTTTCTACTTTTTTTAATTTCAATTTTCTGGGTTCTTTTTTTAATGCTCAAATTTTGATGGGTTTTAATTTGTTTGGTTTTTTGGTTATTGGGTAGTGTGTGTGGATAGATTATTTGAAATGGCTTAGGATGTTTTTGGGTTCTATTGATTGGTGTTTGTGAATCATAAGGATTTGATGCTAAACAGTCAGCTAAATATTGATATTGATGGAAGCAGTTTTCCTAATTAAAATACCTTGGTTTTGTTGGTTAATTTATTGAGGTACGGGGGTTGTTGAATTCTGGAAGCTGTTTCTAAGTGTAAGGAGATGTTGCATTGATAGATTTAATTTGCCTCTTCATGTGTAACTGTTATCAAGCTTGAAAACCTAAAAGTGAAAGGGTTTTGATGTTTGTTTGTGGTGAAACTCAGAAATGGGATTTAAGTTCTTTCATCCTAGATTACGGTTGTGATCATTGGAATGGGATGAACATTCTTTGTTCAAGAGATTGATGAAAATTTTATGGCAGATTAAGTGTTTTTGTAGATTATTTGACATTGTCTCAGAAATGGAGCGGGAGTTAGATTATCAATTTCAGCCTTATTAGTCTATATAAATTGCTTAGATTTGTAATGTACAATCCGTGTATGTGTTGGTTTTGATCTTCTAATTGTTTGCCATGCATGTTTGGAAGTCAGTTCCTCGTGCTAAGTTGTGTTAAAAACCAAAATGAATTGTTAAGTGGCTAAGCATTCCTGTCAATTACTTTCTATATATCCTTATTCTGACTGTAATATTTTCACTAAATACATTGCTCTTTATTTGCTTCAGAGACAATCTTGCAACATATGTGAGTGAATATCCAGCACAGTTCATTCTGGGCTACTGCTCTACTTATATCTTCATGCAGACCTTTATGATTCCTGGAACAATTTTCATGTCATTACTAGCTGGAGCTCTTTTTGGCATTGTTAGGGGACTCTTTTTAGTTGTCTTCAATGCCACAGCTGGAGCGTCTTCCTGCTTTTTCTTGTCTAAGTTGATTGGCAGGCCTCTAGTTAATTGGTTGTGGCCTGAAAAAATGAGATTTTTTCAGTCAGAGGTACTATTCTTATAATGTGTTGGGAAATAACAATCTTACTACAATCTTCATATGTTTGTTTTTCATTGTATTCCACATTTCTGTAATACCTTTAACTCTTTTGAAATTCAGATTGCTAAGCGAAAGGAAAAACTGCTGAATTACATGCTCTTCTTGAGAGTAACTCCAACGCTGCCCAATCTTTTTATCAATTTGGCATCTCCAATAGTGGACATACCGTTTCATATTTTCTTTTTGGCTACTTTACTAGGTCTTATTCCTGCTTCCTATATCACTGTCAAGGTAAGTTTTTCTACTTATTCCCTGGTTAATCAAACTAAGGTGGCTTATTTTGTGGTTTCTTTTTAAGTCTGACTTATTCATGTTCTTGCTTTAGTGATTACTAGCCCTTCCAAACATTTGTGTTGCTAGTTTTCAGATCATTTCTGGAATATTATATTTGAACTGTGACATATATTCATCAATATTGTACCATTTGGTAATTTGCAAGGAACCTTTTGCTACATGTCATTATTAGTTCACATTGTAGAAATTTGGATAAATAGTGATCACATGGTGGTGGAAAAAAGTTTTTTTATAGGGCCTACAAGCAACGTTCAAGAAAATGATGCTGGTAAAATTGTTATTTGGATAACTGGCATCATCGTGCTAATCATGTTGCTTCTCTTTCCCAACATCAGGCTGGCCTTGCTCTTGGGGATCTCAAGTCAGTTAAGGATCTATATGATTTCAAAACTTTGTCTGTGCTCTTCCTTATTGGATTCTTTTCCATATTTCCTACCCTTTTAAAGAGAAAGCGGATATATGAGTGAAGGTTGTATTGGTGAGGCTCTCCCACCAAAGGTGGCTTAATAGAGATCTCTTGACTGTTTGCTTAGAGGATCTGAAAAATGCCGCTGGGTGGCACCCTTCTTTTTGCCACAAAACACAGCAGGACACCTGCTTCGCTTGTGATACACATGGATTGATTAATTCTCCCCTATGACAAAGATAAAGATACTAAAGTCATCTATCTTCTTTATAATCTTTTTTTTTTTTCATGTAATGTTGATTCATTGATCTCCCAATGTGGATTATTTATACAGTTGGTAGCCAGCAATGTTCTAGGAAGCTGTTGTAGTAATCCTCCTTCGTGATCTTTGAAAGATTAATTCTAGGTTGTATTGCTGTTGATTGTAACAACTAAGGTAGCATTGACAATAGGATTAATGGCTTTCTGGTCTTGCCTATTCATATCAGCAGAAGACTGAGGCAGAAACACAAGCACTGGTCATGAAATGCAGGCTAGCAATGCTGAATGGCAAATGTTATGAATGCAATAACTCGTGTAAGAACCGGATATAATTCAGTCCGGTTTACCTGAGGGATGCAGCAAGTCAGGAACCGGCTGAAGGACTTTGTAGAGTCCTTTTACCAGTAACCTGGCTCAGGTTTCTGAAAACTGAAACGCAATCGAGACCTCCCCACCCGATGGTAATTTTCAGGTTGTAAAGTTGGAAGACTTGTCACGTTAAGAGAAGCATATTGATTCCTCGTGATTCGTTAAGGATTGAAAACATAAAAAAAAAAAAAATCTCCTTTGATTTGACCAGAAAGCTGGTATCTCTGAAAGCTTTGATCTGGAAAATAAAGGAAGAACGTCCATGTGATAATGTTCCTGCCATCTGTAATATTGGAAAAATGAACAAGACTTCAAATTCAATCCACTACTATCAGTAAGCAGTGTTTCATCTTATTTGATTAGCAATCTAGCACACATTAGAGAAGCCGAGGGTCATAATGAGAGAATGGAGCTTCACATTCACCATTACCCAGAGAATGAAAAAAGAAAAGAAATTGCAGAGAGAACGAGAAGAAAAGAAGCAAAAGGAAGCATTTAAAAAAAAAGAAAAACATTAGACTGTAGAAGGTTCTCTCTATCAAAGTAGACGCAAGAACAAAAGAAGTCTTCTTTCCTTTAAATTCCAATCGAGGCTCGTCAAATCCACAGAGGCCCTGCCCATGTCCCATCTACATGTAACGGTAAGAGCTAAGACAACAGGAAAGCAAGCAGAGTTGAGATCAGCCACTTGGCCCAAAAATTCATAAGAGCTGGCCATTTTACGACTTTCGCAACAGTTGCAATGGAAACACCAGAGAAGTCAGAGGAAAATAGGAAAATAAGCTTCTACTTAAAAATGTATTTAAGATTATATAACAGTCACGATTCAAAATATTTGTTATTTAGAACTATATTAAAATTAAAAAAAAATTATTTTTAATACTAGCATATTAAAATAACTAAAAAATATGTAAAAATATATTTTTTTTTAAAAAAATTCAAAATTTAAGATATTAAAATAACTAAAAAATATGTAAAAAAATATTATTTTAAACAAAAAAAATTCAAAATTTAAGAGCACGGGGTCCAAACCACGTTCCCAAAACACACCTTTAATGATCAAGAAATAAGCTGCAGAGAGATAACAAAGAAGTCAGAGGAAAATAGGGTTCTACCTAAAAGACTTGCAAAATTCAAGTAGACAATGAAATTTGAAGTCTTTATCCATTAAACCACACGAAAACAAACAATCATCGGCAGTTTGCTATCAAGCGTGTATTCATGTGTTACAGCATGAAGGATCGGCTTGGTAGTTTTTTAAGCATCAGTAGTTGTAGGTAAGGTTGTCAAAATCATGATTTTAACTCGTAAAATCGTACAATTTTACGAGTTAATACATGTTATCGTGTTAAATCGGGCTACAAACTCGAAAAGTAATGAACTCCTATCAAATCAGTGAAATCGTTGAAATCGTGTAAAATCACGATTTTAAATCCGTTTTCACGAGTTTATAAGGAATATATTATATACTGTATAGTAACCGCACGGCTGCACCAAAAAGTCAAAACCCAGCGTTTCTCTTTCTCAAAGTGCCTCCTTTTCTCAAAATGTCTCCAGTTCAGTGTTCCAAAATCCAAACTTTCAAATTCAAATCTCTGCAATCTACCTCCCTTTCACCTTCATAGTTCAGCCATCTCTCTTTTTTTAACTATTCTCCAAAATATAAATCTCCACTTACTTGTACCTGGAAGCAAATCAATTAATCTGGGTGGAAAAAAATTATGTCTGCAAATTGTAACCTATCGGTGAGTAATCTGTGATCTACAACTTTGAAATTTTTTTTGTTGTCAGGTCATGTGGTTATGTTGTGCTGCAATTTTTGTGTATATTCATAAATTTGTAAGCTACGGGAGTGATGGATGTAGGCTTATGATTGAGAATTATAAGCTTTTTCTTGATGGTTTTATGCACGGGAAAGAGATTAAGAGTAGTTCTTTGATTTGGGTAAATGAATAGGAAGAATGGGTGGGCTTCGATTTTGAACTTGTTTAGAAAGTGATAGGCAAAAATTACTCTTTGTTGAAATCCTTTATAAAATACATGGATTTGCTTAGTCAGTTTATTGTCAGCGACTCGTAGCCTAGATACCGCTGACAAAATTGCAAGCACAAAACAAATTCGATTTATAAATTTAATCCAGGGACGAAGTATTGAGGTGGGGAAAAGAATTGTTGATGTTGCTACTTCTATGTAAGAAGTTTCTGCAGGGTGAAGTCGTGAATCAGGCAGAAGATTTGAAAAGCCATAAAAAGAAAAGGAAAGGTAAAACATAAGTTAATTATAATGCAAAAATTAAAAAATCTCTACTGTCATCAGCATCTTGACAGTTGCATAATAAAATCAATTGAAGACATGGTCTGTAAATGGTCTTTCTTTGATTTTATTTGTGTTTTATACATCTAAATATATTTATATTTAGCTTAACAGCCAATAGATTAAAGAAGCATTGTCGAAAGTTAATTGAATTTTAGACTGCATTGAAATAATTCTCCAATCTCATGATCATCCTAATCAGTGGTACAATTACAATTTGCAGAGGTTGGTTGGCTGTGAATGCATAGAAAATGATTTATATATAAATATGTTGTTTCAGTACTGCCTTTTTTTCTTTTTTTTTTTGCTGCAACACCAACACAAAACACCCTGTCACACCTACCCCAGCCTACAGATTTCAAAGCACTATCTATACTCCAAGATTGTTTCAAAGCACTGTCAATAAATAATTGATCGAGATCAAGAAGACATGAATAAATATGGGAGATCTTATCATAATTAACCAATAAATACAGGGATTCACCGGTTTGACTTACTATTGCAAAGTTGCTCTTAGCTAATTGCTTTTCATTATCTTGATTTCATTATCTTGATGATATATGTTTCTTGAAAGAATATGTTTCTTAAATTTTATGCACTACTCTTCATTTAAACAAAAATCTTTATGATTTTATGATTTGTTTTTACAATTTGAGTTTATTTTGTATTTTCGTGCTATATTAAAAAATATGTTTTTTTTTTATTTATATGGGGTGTCCGGGCCAGTTTACGCGCACCACGACTAATCCCCACGACCCACTGAACATCCTGCAAACCCAGTGAGTAGGTAAGGCACCGCGGGGGTGACAGGCGTGCATGGTGAGGTTCGAATCCAGATGCAGAGGAAGGGAACAAACCCTTCCCACCATTAGATCAGAACCTCACTTGCTAAAACATATGGTTTTAACCATATTGGTTGTAGCAGAATAAAAGACTTAATTTTCCATGTGGATCAATTAATTCACATGTTATTCTTAGCGGTTAGCAAAGTTAGTAGGTGGCTGTTAATAAAGGAGTTATTAAACAAGCTAAGGGGTCAACTTGCTTATGAGCTCTGTTTACCATCCTCAAATTGATAGGCAAACAAAAAGAGCGAATTAGTGTCTAGAAACCTATTATAGGTGCATGAAAATGCACAATCCAAAAAAGTGGCATCAATGGCTATTTATTGAACAATGATGGTACGACAGCAGCTTCCATTCAATAATTAAAATGTTTATTTTCAGATATTGTTTAGATATTCACCGCTTCAAAGAGAATGATCTAATCAAGAGATTTTCATAGTCATCGTAGCGGAGAAAGTGATTTAGAGGAGAAGTACTGTGGATCAATTTTTACTATTACACTTGAATGTATTTAAAATTACAGTAATTGTTGTTATAACAAAAAAATAATTTTATAAAAAATATTTTTAATTGTAATTGATTTAAAAATATATATATTTAGTTAAAATTATAATTAAAATTAAAATTAAATAAAAAATAATTTAATGTGTTTGATTAAAAATTATAATTTAATTTAATATTATGATATAATTACCTAAAAAGATTTTATTCATAATATTAATGAATAATTACATGAAAAATAATCTAACAACCAATAAAATGTCATGGGATACATGTTCAAACCCATTGAAAAAGAGTCCCACTAAATAATATTGACCAAACTTGAGTTTTTATACAGACAATTAATGGCTTTACAACTGCCCTGTATTTCTAACTCTTTCGTGCCCCCTTCCCTTGTCCCCTCATTTTTTTCCTATAATTCAATGGTTTCGTGTAGAAAGAGACGCAGCCATCACTTTAATTGTTACTGGTCATGTAGCAGTAATGGTTTCCTGTAGAATTGTTGTGCATAGTGAAAAGATGTGAAGAACGGACGAGAAGAGCAACCAAAAAGAAGAGGATAAGCTTATAAAAAAAATTTATTATTATCTCTAGAAAGTTTAACATGTGGTTAAACTTGCAAAAAGTAGTATTTTATTGTTTTTTCAAAATCACGGTCCTACCTTAATACAATAAAATAGTGGAACCCATGTTTTAGATTTTTTAAACATATAGTAACCAAACATATATATAGTATATATTAGTGTGTTTTAAAAAAAATATAAACACGGCCACTTAGACAAACAAACTCTTAAAAAAGCAGGAAATAAAATGAAATAATAAGCAAATAAATGAAGAACTAGAGAGAATTTGTCGTGGGTAATTATAAGTATTTAAAGTTATAGCCTTGTCATAAAAAAATAAAATAAAAAAACTAGCTTTAATGAGGCATTTCAAACTCAATCCATGATTTTATGTTTCCTATCTGATGATTCAAAAAGTTAGAGCAATAACATATATATTGCAATTACCAAAAAAGGCATCAATCCATTTTATCTTTCATGTTTCACTATTAAAGAAAAAGGCAGGCAATAATATTATGATAGCTACTGATATTCCATAAATAAATTAATTAATAAATAAGGGTGAAGGTTAGTCTTGTGGCCATACTGGATAAAAAAATTATGAAGAAGGGTAA